CCCCAAAACCCCAAAACCCCAAAACCCCGTTCTGATTAGATGGACTTAAGTAGGGTAGAATTAAAAATAAAATAAAATAAAAGTTAGATAGCAACTGAGAGATGCAATCTCAAGCAAACACGAATAAATAGCAACAAGTCGATCCAAAGGCAACTCAACAGCAACAACAGAAGTAAACATAGCAAACTCAGCAATAATAGCAGTAGAAGGCTGATGTATCAAAGCAATAGCCACAAGTGTCACCGCAAAAATCTCCAGCAAATAATAATATCAGTGCACCATAAAAAGATCCATTAAAAGATTTGATAAAGAAGCGAGTTGAGAAATAGACTGCGGTTCTCAATCGATATCCCGACATTCCTCTAATTGAAGAGGTTATAATTAAGACTTTCGATGAATTAGCCTTTAAAATGAGTGATCAACAAGACTACTTGATGCAAAAGCTTGAGGAAATCAGAAGTGTGTTTGAACAAAGCAGTATGGTCCAGATGAATAAGCGACTCTAATTGGAAAACAAGGACTTAAAAGCCAGAATGGAATCTAAAATGACCACTAAGATGCAAAATCTCATTAAGGAAGAACAAGAAAAAGAGAAAGATCGACTTGACTAAGAAAGAATAGACTAGATAGCTCGACTGAGAGAAGAAAATAAAAGCATGAACACCTAACTTTACGATAAAGATGAGGAAATTTACCAGCTTCAGCAAAAGCTCTTGGGTGCTCAAAAAGTACAAAAGGATCTAGATAATGAAATTAAGAGACTTAAGACTAATGATGAAAGCCAAACTAGCTAAATCAAATAACTTCAACTAGATAAGGATTCCAGCCTGAAGTAAATCAATACACTTCTTCAAGAAAACAAGAAATTGAATGATCAAGTGATTTAGTTTGAAAAGAATCAAAGTAGTCAATAAGTTCAAGATAAAAATAAAATATCTGAAACTTCTACAAAACTAGTTGACTTAGAAACAAAACTAAAGGATAAGGATCAAGCAATAAAAGATAAGGATCAAGCAATAAAAGATAAGGATCTAGCAATAAAAGATAAGGATCAAATTATAAAGGAAAAGGACTAAACATTAAAGGAAAAAGAGGTGACTATGACATAACTAAAGAACTAGATTGAGCTATGTAACTCAATTATTTAATCTTAAGAAAATGAAATTAAGAAAAGCCAAAGTGAATATAATGATGCTAAACTTATCAACAACTAAATGCTTCTTTAAATTCAAAGTGATGAAAAACTCATATTTGCTCATTCAGAGTCATTGAAGAAATATGATCTAATCAAATAATAACTAGAGGCTGAGAACAAGAATTTAAAGTAGAAAGTTAATGAATTAGAATAAGACATCTAAAATATTAATGGTAGCAATCCTAACAATGACGAGGGAAATAATCATAATATCTCAAAGATCAATTAAGATTAGACATTGAATCAAAGTTATTTGTCTCCAAGAATGTCATTATCACCTTCCCCAGATGCAAACAAACGCAATGGTAAACAAGTAGATGAATAGGAGAGACAACTACTCGCAGATATGAACTTTTCAATGGATCTTTTGAATTCAGTTAAGGCCTCTAATCAAGGAAGCAGAATCCAAAGCCAAAAGAGAAGTCAAAGCAGTAATCATACTGCAATGAAACAAAAGGATCTTTCTAATTCAAGATTAGGGAATAAACAAGATGAGTTTGTGACTTTTGCTTAAATTAGAAGCACAAAGAGTATTCAATATCTAACTTAAGAGCTTCAATAAATAAAAGAATAGATTTATTCAAAGCTAAGGTTCCTATTAATCAAGGTCATCGCAAGTAAAGAAGATTAGCCCGAGGACATTTACGGTATATTCAAAAATTCTCAAGAAGATCTTGGCTAATTCATCAAGGATGAAATAAATCATCTTTAATAAATTAGCAACGTCATCAATGAAGTTATCTTACAGTCTGAGGATAGTTTCAGTAAAGTTCATGAAGAGAAAATTTCAAGCAAGCTTAGATAGATAATCAGCGAGGATAACTAAAACGGTGATTCAAAATTAGAAGATATCATCTAAAGGCTAAATGAGCTTTTTGACTCTCTTAGAGACGAGAACATAGCTTACAAAGCTCAGGTTGAACAGAACTATGAACCTAAGATTTAACAACTAATTTAGGAGAACAAATCATTAAGAGATGGTCACAGTTTATAAAAGTATGATTCGGTAAGTATCCTTTAAAAATTTATATTATTCTAGATACTCATTGAAAATGATATGTTAAAGCAGGAGATATTGAAGATTAAGCAATAGCACAATGAGATCATGAAGATAGAGAACTAAAATAACCAAAGTTAACAGATATTAATTGCACAAATGACTCAAGAAAATGAGAGCTTACTGGAAAAGGCTTAAAGACTTTCAGAAAACCTTAGAGAGTTAGCAAGGGAATTAGAATTCATGAGGGAATCAAAGGAGAGATTAGAAAGGGAGAACTTATACCTGAACAAAAAATCAGAATAATTATCTTAAGATTACAAGAATTTAAGCAAGAACACAGCCGCTCCAATATCTCCAAATAATAAAGAATAAGATTAAACTAATTTACCAAATGAATTGAGAAAATCTTCGGTGTCAATGCAATCTTTTGGCACAACCAATAATCAAAATCCCTACAGAAGAAGTCAGCCATTCACTAAGTACCTGAACGAAAAGTAATCGTAGCAGTAATCAGAGTAAAAGAATATCTATTAGCTTCCAGGTAGATACTCAAACGTCAACCCAGATGAATCCCTGAAAAAGAAATAAATTGAAACCGATAAACTAAACTAGTTGATCAATGAATACAAGAGAGAGAACACAAAATGCACATAAAAGATCACTGAGTTAAAAGATAAACTTCAAAACACAAAGTACAAGTAAGCTTTTAATATTCATTTATATAGATTCTATATTGATAGGAATAATATGAGAGATTCATTTAACAACACCAATGGCAACGAAAGTAATTATAGCAACAGCCCTTCAAAATCAGTCTTAAGCTCAAACAAAAAGAGTAGCAGCAATGGCTTCAGCCAAGGTAAATCGAGCTAATATGGCAGAGGCTTTTCATAACCAACCGTCAATGAAAGAATTACAGATGGAAGATACTCTTGAATATGAAGTATTTATGTTATTAATTCTCAAGTTTATTTATTTTAATTATACTTCAAGAAAATTACTCATTCACAAATTCTTTCTAAAATATAACTTTATGGGGTTTTGGGGTTTTGGGGTTTTGGGG